GCACTCAAACAGGAAAATACTATAATATGACTATATCTCTGAGGCTTAGAGCAGCCACCTCTCAGATATGAGCAGATCTGACAGGTTCAGATTTTTACAGCCGATGTTTTGGTTCGAGAGAAGTGAGAAAATAAGCAGTTGGACGTAGGTATTTAAACCATTTTTAAACATGCATATGAAATTCTATATTTTGTGTACAGTCCAAGCTGGTGATGAGTACATGACTGAAAATGATCAGTGAAAAAAAATGTTTGTGTCCTCCCAAAATAGGTACCATAATTTTAGAAATTGGCAGCAGATACAATCAGCAAAGACAGACTGCTGCAGACCAAAGACGTCAGTGCACAGTAGGAGCTGCTCAGCTGCACACTAGGAAAAATAAAACTCACAAATCACAGAACAAACTGTACTTACTACACCTACACACACACACACACACACACACAAGCATATCCTTTGTGTTTGGGCACACAATATGCAGTGTATGTGCACAGAAATTTCATCTTCAGTTTGAAACACAACCAGTCAACAAACACTAACTCCACTGATGTCTGTAAGCAGCTGCTTCTTCCCCCACACAACAAGAGGAAGAAAAGGGGAGAAAAGGAAGAAAGGGGATGTGGCCCTGTCAGAGGCCTCCCATTACTACAGCAACACTGCTCACACAGCCCAGCATTGCATAGACACTGGTTGCCATGGTTATGCTGTAATTGCACTGGCAAAGGAATTACTCCACAAGCAACAGGAGGGAATAAGAAGGAGAGAGTTTCCAGCTACTGTATACACACCAGAGATGGCTGCTCACATGCTGCTTTATTTGAGGTGAGGTGTGATACAGCAGCTTAAGAGCAAATTATACAGAAGCCCTGTAAATATGTAGACTTTTATGTTATTTGTACCAGCAAGGTTAATACGGAACTATCCATAATGTATTCTCATAGAAAGAGAATAGCTTCACACTCCTCTTTATACTGTATGTGTGGTGACAAGTTTGGTGACAAGTTTTTGAATGGAAACCTCTCAAACACTTCATTATCTGATTTTTTCACTGATTAACACACCTTCAATCTGCTAACGAGCTTAAACATGCTGCTGCTAAGTTGGCCAGAACAATAGATCAGTAGCTGGGGATCCTATTTGCCCTGAATTAAGCTTCAGGAAAAGTGTCCCACTGCATATAAATCCCAAATTTATAAGGATTAGAAGAGAACACCAGCTTTACCATTCTGTTCACCCCAGCTGTTCTCAGGCCACAGTGGTACAGGAGTGACAGTGACAAAAAGAGAGGAGCTAAACCTCCACAGATTAAAGAACACGCACACTCATAGCAGCACACTCCAGTTGATGATACATAAATTGATAACACATTCCTGTACTGTAACAGATTTTAGATTTAACATGCAAAAATAAAAATTTAAAGATGCATTCTTCATACTTATACACATACTGTGACCTACTGTACATTCTTCCATTCCTATATTGAACATTATTTCTATATTTTACCCTTTACAATATTTTTCATATTTTTATTGTAAATATTTTATGCTTCCTGACTTGCAGTACTTGCTTTATCTTTATTTTTATTTTTTCTACTGGCTACGTTTATCGTGATGCACCAAAACACGAAACACTAAACACTAAAGCAAATACCTCGCATGTGAAAATCTACTTGGCAATAAACTTGATTCTGATTCTGAAAACATACACGTGTCAAACACCTCAATTTTTCCTAATCCAGAGATTTTAAAATCAAGCAATCATGGAATCTTCTTGTCGGACTAAATTTAATCTACATTTTTGACTCATCCATCTGCTGAACAAACTTGTGACGTTCTTTCTACAATGTCCCAACTCAGTTGAAGAAGTTCCAACTAATGTGTTGTTGCACTTTCTGCTTTGCTTTCACCTTGTGCCCAGTTCATCCCAAACCAGCTCCGTGTGATTTAAGTCTGGAGGCCTCTGTCTGGTTCTGTTTTTCTTATGTTTTGGGTCATCAACCTCTGACCAACCAGCGTGTCTTCCTGTGTTAGTTGCTTGTTTGCTTCACCATTCTGACAGCAGTATATAGAACTACTTCCTGCGGTATAGTACTGTCCTAATAATAGATCAGAGGGTGTAGTAACACAGTTTATTCCAACACTGCCTTTGTACAGACAAAGGGTTTGACGGTCATCAGCCTCTAGGAACTGTTTGCTTTAACTTTCAAGGATTCGTTTACTTCTGCTGCTGCAGGAAAGCTGGAAGTCCATCAATTTCTTCATCCCTGAAGAAGGCTGTTTTCAAGGAAACTTACATACAAATTTACATTTCTCAGTTTTTGAAAACTGGAAAAAATTGACGTTCCAACATTTTTGTCTGGTTCTGTATTTCCATCTATGTATTTTAAAAGTAGACCAGTAGATGAAAAGTATTTTGGTCTTGTCTGGTCAGTGTGTATTTTGCTGACATCTAGTGGTGATTACAGGGACGTCATGTCAATGACCTGTTCAACAGATAAAGAGGGTTATTTAAATTCAGCTAAAATCTCAATTTTTAAAACCAGATGGTGAAATGACAGTATTAACAGATGTGACACAGAAAATGAAGCATTAACCTGTGACCCCTGGGTGCTCTACATATGTCACTATGTATGAACCTACATTAATTGTGGCCCAACAACAGAGGGCGCTAGTGCTGTGTGATATGAACTGAAGATTATTGTTACATTATTATTATAGACAACACTGTTATGAAAACATCATATATTCAGTTCTTCCGTAAAACAAGAACTTTTATTCCCGTACCTGGAACTGCTCCATCACTAAAGTATCATGGGAGATATTGTTCTGTCTTATATTTGATGTTTTAATCCTATTGAGACAATCCGCTTCTAATACAAATTTTTCTAAATTCTCTCTCAGCATCCCGCAGACAGACACATCATTTCCATAATGATCATATTGAAGTTGTTAACTAAGTCCGAAAGCTTCTGTCTTCCCTTTAATCCCATCTACATATCCAGGTTTCATGATGTTGTTCTAAAAAGAATATTAAATTAGAAAATGTGCATTTTTTTGCTCTTTAAACTGGGGCTGAATAGATTTTTTTGTTTGTTTTTTTTTACAGATGACCTTTCAGTAAGTTCTGTTGCAGATGATGGCCGGCCTGAGCTGAATTCTGATCAGTCTGTCTTTCCGTCCTTTATTGAAATGAAATGTGTGCAAAGTTTGGTTTTAAATATCAGACAAACTCCCAATACACATAATCGCTTTATTAAATCTCTCTAGTAAACATACAGCAGTCATATTTTAGGATCTTTGATTAAATCTCAAGCAATGCACACTTGTTCAAAAAGAGGAAGTGCAATTCACTCAAAGTGCTTTACATGTCACTTTACACTTCACATACTCAGACAAATAAAAAACATCAATGACATTAAGCTGACTGACCACATGTTTAAAGTAGTGGTTTGAACAATGAACAACTAGCCCTGTCAGATGACCCTGCCTTTATAGTATGATGACAGAAATGATTAAATGTAAGCTTCAGCATTTGGACTGTGGTCTTTAGAGATTCAGGAGCCAAATAAAGTAAAACTATCGACAGAAGTCGACGGGCATCTTTATTCTTTCTTAAAAACCAGTCAGACTAGAAGTCATAACTGGCACAATATGTCAGTTTTGTGCTTTGCAATATTTTTATTTAACCTGACACTGGTGGGAAAGCTGAAGCATGAGTGATCGGTCCACTTCCTCTTATTGAGAGGGCTGTGAGATGCTCCTCTCAGTATACTGTATCGTCTCAATTCTCTTCTGCTTGAGTGATGTGTAATGAAGAAAAATTGATGGGAAACCACATTATGCATATTTTTACAAACCATGTACATCATACATCCTATTGGATAATAATAATATCAGGTTATGATCTGAATCAGCTGTCTTAAGATAATATACTTTTTTTTTTTTTCTGCAGAATGATCTTTGAAATGAAACTGGTCCATGTTGGATATTGAAAGAGTTATACAGACTTTGCTAGAAGGGAACCTGTTCATATTTGTTATGTTTATATTTAATGTAGAAAGATAATAGATAGACTGTTTAAAAAATACTCCAAAGTCTTGTTTAAGCCTCAAGGAATAGGATGGTTTCTTGAACTTTTGCATTTTACATTGAAGGTGTATGGATAACCCTCCCTACCCCCATTTAGAGCCTATCATATGCTTAAGAGGGCTATTTACTGTATACTCTGTTTATAGTGTTGAAGATGCAGTGTGTCAAATGTTAGTATCTGCACCTGATAAAAAGCAAAAGAAAAAGTCATCCAGTAACCTTCTGTTCTTTCTATGTTGCCATTGTAAAGCACAGTGTTATATAGTGATAGATATTTTTCATTTCAAATGATTTAAAAGGTTTTAAACAGATGAATAACAAAATATTCTCTGATGATGTCCATTATCTTCTCACAGGGTGGTCAATCCTGAAGCCTCCTCCAGTAAAGTGAGGTTTGCTGCTCAGCTGGGGCAGTGGCTCCAACTGCCCCACTTTGGTCTTGGTCCTCTGCTCACTGAGGAGACACACAGAGCAGCAGGTCATCAGACTGACAGCACAACTATCACATGCCCACTGCATAACATAAATTCTGCAGTTGTGCCAGTAGACGTCACCTGTGTAGCTTTTTCTGACTGAGGTACTTCTTCTTGATGTTTGCAAGCTCGTTGGCCAATCTTTGATTCTCACTTTTGTACTCATTCATCTTTGAGTCGAGCATTCTCAGCTCTGCTATCAGCACCTGTGAAATCAGAAAAACATACAACACACATGAATATGTATAGATAAATAGTTCATTGTTGAATTTGCAGAAATCATTTCACCTTGAAAAACATCTCCTTTGTATTATTTCCAGGTATTTAGGCAACTTAAGCTACATGATTAAAATTATAGCGCTGATATTTCATGAAAAGCCTTAATCAAGTAAACACTGTACATTTATCTACGTATCTTGTGAGTAAGAATCAGACAGAAAAGTTTTAATGTACACAGAGGATGTGAGGATTTGGAATTATCTGCAATTCTGTGTAAATCTGTCTTTTAATATGGCCAGATCTTAATCTAAGTTACACAGTGTATTTGAACTAATAACACACAAATCATTGCATTGTCCACATCAAAAACATCATTCAAACGTTCACAGTTTTGTGGTTGGAAAAAATATGTGAACCTCTCAGCTAATAACATGAACAAAAGCTAACTAGAGTCAGGATTTATCAGACCTGGAGTCCAGTCAGTGAAACAAAATTGAAGATGGGGGTTGGAGACACTTTGACTTATAAAAAACACTTAAACATTTTGAGTTTGCTGTTCACAAGAAAAAGCTGCTGATGTGAACCGAACTTCACAAAAAAAGATCTCAGAGGAGTCATGCAAAGTGTCACGTTCTTTGGCCACCAGTTGTGAATGTTTAATTGGTGTGTTCAGTAAAGACAGTTGTTTGTTTTTTTAGCTTAACCTTTAGCTTTTTGGTTTTTAGCGTTTGGTTATTAGCTTAACCACATTGTGTTTGTCAATACTTGTGACTTAAATGAAGATCATATTTTATGACAAACTAGTTGTTAAAACCAGGTCATTCAAAAGTTTTAATACAACAAGAAAAACAACAGGAAACAAGAAAACATAAAAGTAAGACAGGGATGCTTGGACTGTGAGATGATGGTTACTAAAGACCTTGAGCTTTTTGGTTCTCTCTCTGATGGTCCACTGGCATTGCTGGAGCTGCTCAGCTGCCTCTGGACCAGGCTGCCGGGCCAGAATGTGCTTCAGTTCCACATACAGCTTCTCCTTTTCCTTGTGGGGAAACACGGAGATGACGGAGAGGATTGTAGGGAACAAGAGAAGAAGAATAAGTGTGTGCGCTCACATGCTGTAGAACTTAAAACATCTATTCTGTTTGGAAGGAAAAGGAACCACAGCGTAAACATGTTCCTGCTGTGTCTCCATCATGCACTATCTGCTTCTGCCGGCTTAAAGCCAGTATGTGTTTGTGGAAAAATCAAACAATCCTCATAAGAGTGGTCACAGTCTACATTTGCCATTCATTGTCAGTGTCCTGGGGCAGATCAGTACTATATCAATCAAGCAATCAATTCAAGTGTAAATTGTAAAAACACCATTCATACAGGCAATTCATACAATTCAAAATGCTTTACAAGTCAATAATAGAGAAACATTAAATACATTTTAAATAATGGCCATGAAACATTCTAATCAAAGGTTGAGAAGCTAAAGTTTTAAACACGTCTGAGATACTGTCAGATCCTCAGGGAGGCTTGTTGTCTGAACACTGAACAGTGCCAAAAACATTTTTAAATGCCTTGCACAGTGGTTTTAAAAAGCAGAACGAGTACAGTCACTGTTCAGCCACAATCTGACTATGGGATCAAAGCACCACAGGACATGTATTTTAATATAAATATATCTTTTAAATGCTTCTAAAGGTTAATTCTGATTTTATTCTATATTTTATTATCATCAACAAATCCCATGAAAAGACCCAAACCAACAATGTATTTAAGTGCCGTGTGTGTATCCAAAACCTGATATTATTCCTCAGGGCCATGGAGCTCCGTGACTGTTCAAAAACTATTTAAAACTCTTCAGTGAGACACACTGTGACTCACCTGCCGCCCAAAATACTAATGAGAACACCAAATGTGTATTAATCCACCACTGAAATTAGTCCCCAACAATGTATGATGTCTCCCTGGTTGAGAAACATTTGTTAAAACTACAGTGTCCAGCTGTTTTAACAAATTATTGCACCTTTATTAAAAAATGTAAGTATTTATTCACGATCTGAATCTGTACTTTCACAGACTAATCCAGTGTTGTTTTGGTCTTTTCATGGGATTTTCTTGACAGTAATAAAATGAATATCAACAGCTTTATCTTTTAAGTTCTAATGACAAAATGGGTAAAAATTGATAAAGATCATTTCTTATTATTTTTCTGTTATTGTTCTACAAGACACATTTGAGGGTCTGCCTATTAACTTGGCTGCTATTGTCTCTCAGTGTTAGCATCTGAGCAGTTGCACTGTAAAAGCACTGCCATACGTGCTTTTACGTTGATAGATGACAGTTTGTTTACACACCAGCTCCTTTCAGTCAAATCGCACCTTACTGAGGATAAGACTAATTAATCCAAACAGGCATGTACAGAGTGCGTGTGTGCTTGTGTGTACACACTGAGGAGCGAGTGTTGACTGTTAACCTGTAGTAGAAGTTCGTGTTCCTCAAGCTTTTGGGTCTTGGTGATAAGTCGTTTCTGTAAGGACTGAATCTTCTGGATGAGTTCATATTTGCTGGGGTCACTGCCCTGCAGGGGAGAGACATTTACAAGCTGTTAACAGCCTGACCTTTTCCTCTTTGAATATTCAGGTTTACTCAGGAGTTCAAGAAGACAAACAAATGAAACAGGCTAAAGCAGTTATAGCTTTAAGCTAACCCAGACAGGCACTCCTTAACAAGCCCTTCACCTCCAGTCGTCTCCATCGGTGAATATTTATGGGCTTCAGCTGTTCCTCAAGGACGTTGCTTCTCATCCTTTCTCTGAGCAGCTCCCTCTGCAGGTGGAACAGCTCTCGCCTGCAACACAACAGCTCAGTCATATTTCATACAGCACCTACTTACAGCTACATACAACCTGTAATATCAGGAAACAACCATCTTTATGCAAAAATGCCCCAGTGATCATGAGAAGACATTTTTAGTCAGAGGTAAAACAAAAAACATTCATAATGCAAAATAATCTTTTGCCTTTTTGAATTATTAGTTCAAATTTGAGGGAATGAATGAAGTGGATACACTCTGACTGCAGTCTGTAAGGTGATGTAGGAAAACTTAACCCTTGAACTATTTTATAGTTTTAACGGAAAAGAGTTCACTATGGTTTTGGAAGCCAGTGGTTCAAAGGAGGTTGTTCCTACCTCTCACCTGGATCTGTCTCCACCTTGCTCTATTCTTCTATTCTACTTTGTGGGTCACCACATTCTCTCTCCATCCTGCTCTCTGTGCTCAGTGCTTGTGTCCTGCCTCTCCTCGTCTATTCCAAACTCTTCTCTTTCCTCTTTATGCTGCTCAGGCCCTCTTCTCTTTTTTACCTCAGGTCCTCAGTGTTGGGTACAGTCTTGTCCAGGATGCTCTTCTTATGCCGCAGCCTCTTGATCTCCAGTTTGAGCAAACGGATGTCCTCCATCCGCTGGTTGTAGTGGAAGTCACCCTTGCTCAGGATTGATTGCTGGATCCTGATCTTCTCACAGAGCAGGGCTCGCTCATCATTGCGGCGTAGCAGCTGCTTTCCCAGGGTGTCCCGCTCTCTGATCACCTTAAGAGAAGTTTCACCAACACATAATCATCAGACACATAATCATCATAATCATAATCATCTCTGTCCTCGTATTTTTCTCTTTCTCTTCTTGTCTACCTACGTCTCCTTCTTTACCTGTTCCAGTTGTTTCTTCTGTTGGATCTGTTCAGCATCAGCATCTGCTATAATCTTTTGCAGTTTTTGCTGTTCTGCTTTTTGACTGTCAACACGCTGCTTTGTTTCTTCCAGCTGCAGCTTAATCAACTGCAGCTCCCCCTGTAGCAGGACACACAGACAGCCACACATGTATGTATTTATATACAGTAAATATCTGTAAAGCCACTCAGAATGGCTATGTTTTAGGGTATAACCACTAGTCCAGGCGAGTCTGCTTTATTTTAATTAAGTTATAGGAAATGCAAACAGTTTGTCATGGAGTTAGCTGAGGTTCATTAGTAGTACAGCTAAACTACTTTACCTTGCAGTGGAAAAACACTCAGCACAGCTTGACTAATCACAGTAGCTGATGGCATGGCTCAGCTTTACTGACCCCCCACCGACAATGGAAAACCCTATTTGGCCCAGAAGTAGGTCAATGGTTCCCAGTGGCACTAGCCAAGACAACTTTGAACAAATGAAATGTATGTAATGTATGTATGTTCATTTACATTTACATGAACATTTATTCATTTCTCATAGGCTTTTCTTCAAGACTCAAGTTACTAACGGAGCTAAATACTACCTATGTAAATGATGATGAGGAGCTCAGAACCACTGAGGCAGACTGCAGTACCTTGAGGGATTCATTATCCTTCTCTAAGCGCTTGTGCTCCTGCTGATCTTTGGCCAGGGCCAACTCCTTCCCAGTGATCTCATCTCTCAACCGGGTCACCTGGTTGTTCATGGTCTTCATCTTCCTCTTGATCTCTGCAATCTCTTCCTGAAGCAGAGGGAGATAAACTTTTCAAACTAATAAATATAGAATAAAAATACAAGAAACTGCAGAAAAGAATGAAAAGAAAACAAATCATTTCAGAGGATCAAAAAATCTCACAGCCATAACTTTTCCATTTTACAGTAACTATTCGGATGATGAGTTTGAATGCATCAGTCTTACCTGAGCCTCGATGAGGTTTTTGCTGTAGAGGTTCCTTTCAGACACAACAGACTCCAGCAGGTTCTCTTGCTGTTTCAGCTTGCACTCTGCCTCAGTGACCTTCTTCCTCCAATCAAATATCTCCATCTCTCTTACTTCAACATCATTCATTTTCTGTTGCACCTGGTGAAGGGAGGGAAGTGTTCCACTTAGATAGACCAAGGTTGAAGGTAAGTTTTCCAACTTTGTGTTAAAAAAATCATCTTATAATAACAAAATGACTTCAAATAATAAAACCCATTCTGTTTAACGTGCCTTCTGCATGAGGTTGCTGGTCTCATTAATGTAGCGGTCACGTTCTTTTTCCAGCTGTTGAATGATCTTGCGTTGCTTCTGAGCCTCCTGGCGGTATCCACTGATCTCATGCTCCAGCGTCTTCTTGTCCTGCTCGAGGAGCTTGACAAGGTTTTGCTGTTTCTCTGTCGACTGTGCAGCTTTGATCATGTTCTATTGATTGGGAAACATAAGTATATAAGTAAATAAGTGAAGTAATGTTAATTCTGGTTTTGATTGTGTATTGAAAAGCATTAACACAGGAACTGTAGTTTACATCATATTCCTTTTGCACCACTGTATAACGGACAAGAGAGAAACGTGTGCTGGAGAGGACTGAAAACACAGGATACATACCCTGTGGGTCAAGGTGCAGCACTTACCTTATTTAAGATGTCTCTCTCTCGGATCAGCTCGTCTATGGCTTTCTTGTCAGCTTCCACTTGCTTTTGTGAAGATTCAAGATCTGTGGAAAGAATGATGGAGACAGTTTGTATTGATGGTCAAAGCTGGTTGTGTTTGATATTTTTATATTGACTAGTTCACCTCCATGAATGTGTCACATTGTCATTTAACTTATGTAGCAGATCTAACGTCTTTGGTGAAGCCTTAATAGCATATTGCACTGCAGGAAAGAAGCTTGATTTTTATGTCTCAATGAGAATAGTGGTAATACACAATATACAACAGAGAGGAGGAGAAATGATCTGTAGTTCTATTTACATGATGGATAACACATAGTTATTAATTATCTATTTGATCATCAGCTCTCAACTTGTACTTTTATCAATTATATAATAGGATGAAAGTTTAGTTTTCATCATCACATTTAAGCGTGAGACTGATGAGCTCACAGAGACCAAGACAGGGCAGCAGTGAAGGAGAGACAGACTGGGACCCAGGTCATCATTTATGTGAGTGCATGTGCAGTACCTTTCTCCAGACCAGCTATCTGAGCTTTCAGTGTCTCCCTCTGGACGTCCACATCAGCTTTCTGATCCTCCATCTGGTGGAACTTCTTCTGGATTGTTTCTCTCATCTTTGTTTGTTTGGCAACCTCGTGACGCATCTGAGTTACCTCCTCTTCTCTCATCTGACAGGTGGGGTTGTATGAAGCATTACACAGAAGTAACAGGGAGGAGAAAAGATTTTAAAAAAGCAGAGTGGATAATTTTTCCACTGTGCTCTGAGGACAATAAGTCAAATTTGGTCTGTCTCTCTGACCACAGCCCTCAGATAACTGAATACCCATTCTCTCTTTTTTTCTCTTTCTTGGAGTAGGACACAGTTCAGAACACAGTAGACCTGCTTCTTACTTGCTCTTTACAGGTCGGAGCAGCAGTATGTCATCTATTATCAGCTATCATCCACTGCTGTAGATCTGAGGAAAATGGCAAATCGTAGTCTGTCTTGCTTTTAAAAAATATATATATTACTATGACCTTTTTACTAAATAAGATACTCGTCCCACCAGCCTGCCTCCCTAAGCATGAGTGGAAAAACATCTTGGAAAGAAAAACATTTTGGAAAGAACAAGCTTATGCTCTCATATCTCCATACTGTGTGATTTAGCAATCAGGGTTTCAGGTAAATCTCTCATCAAGAGTTCTATTACTTTACCACTTTCTCTATCCCATTCATGTTCAAAATCATGCATACTCAGGCACACACAAACAATGCTAATATACACAACAAATCAGGTATATATAGACAGACGTGTTTATCTGTTGCTTAGCTGTGATGTCTGTGTCAGTGGACGAATGTGTACCTTGAGTTCATTTGCATTCTGCTGATTTTCCAAGGAGAGATGCTCTTTGACTGATGAGAGCTGCTCACACTCCTGCTGCAGCCTGGTATTCTTTATCTGCATCTGCTCCAACTCCTTGTTGGATCGCTCATTCAGCATCTGTCACAGTCAGGGGAGCGATTAAGGCGTGGGAAGAAACTATTCATTGCATACTGCAGTACAGCAACCGTATGTTTTTAAACACACAACTATATGTACATTGTTTTTATAATGTTATAGTTCACCATTCCAAATAAAAAGACATACTGACATGACGCTACAGTGTACTGAAGCTGTTTTTGAGGCTTGTGGTGGCCCAACATCTTACTATGACCAATTTAAGTTTTTTGGTTTAATTTGTCACTAAATGACCAAGCAATTTGATTTGCTAATAGGAAAAGGAAAAGCAGCTGGAAAATGAAAATGGAAATTAAGGAGGGAATCCAGGTATATATTCCCATTTTGAAAATGCCTTTTCAAACAGTTTTTCAAATTCTATGATTTATTCATGAATTAATAAATGTATTTATAAATGGTGTAGTTAATGAGAGTTTTGGCAAATCTAATTTTGAATCTTAAGTATTTATTGATGGATTAATAGTTCATTTATACATCTTTTTTACAATTTTTATTTTTAATGGCTTAAACTATCAAATTAAGAAAATGCTTTATTACTTTTCCTGTGACATTCCTGGTCCTCCATATTGAGATACCACATTCAAGAGGCCAAAACTGTGTTTTGTTAAGCCACCCTGATCTTGACCTTTGACCATCAAAATCTGATTAAATCAGTTCATCCTTGAGTCCGTTGGACAGACGACCCGAGAGCAAAATGCCTCCTGCTCTGGTGTCGCCTTTGCAGAGGGATAAAAACTGCATTATCGTCTATATTTTTAACTAAGATGATCAGTATCTCAGTAGATGGTTTCACCATAAAGACTACGCATACCACATACTGTACACACCTTTAGTTCTTTCAGCTGCTGCTCCAGTCTCTGCTGCTCCTCTTTGGCCCTTTGGCCCTGCAGATTCAGAGCTTTGATGTCCCCCGTCTTGGCCTCCATGTCAGTGTGCAGCTGCTTCACCTCCTTGTCCAGCTTTTCCTTCAGCCTCATCTCCCGGGAAATCTCATTCTGTTGCACCTGGAGCTCCTGCTGGAGCTGGGTTTAGACATGCAGAGAGGCAGCAAGTTGGCATCACAGCTGGATTTAATTTAATTTCAATTTATTTGTGAGAATCTCCACTGGCCTCAGCAAAGCCATATTCCTCCTATGGTCCACGGGAGTCCACTTAGCATTAGTGGTGCCCAAGAGAACTGAGTCCAACTGGAATTTTTTCATTGTACTCAGATGAAAACATCCTTTACACTATAAGAAAGGTTTCTCCCTCCAAGCTTAGCAAAAAGGCTACTGGCACCCTCAGTCTGCTAATGTAGTGTTTAGGTGCATAATTGTCGTAGGAACAATGCCTCATGTAAGTACATACATCTGATTATGTGGTAGAAATATTACAAAACAATGCAATGTAAATTAAAAATCTGATTTTACTCTAATTTTCTACATGTACAATCTGTTTTTACTAAATCTGGTGTAGATAATCTTTCAATAAATAAAACTTGAAAAGACAAATTGTAAACATGTGATATGATTACAATTACATTAGAAGTCAGTTTTCTGTCAATGAGAAGTTGAACCATACTTACCTGAGAGATATTCTCTAAGGCGCTCCGTCTTTGGGCATCTATGTCCTGCTGGGTTGATGTGGCCTTGCTTAGTTTTTCTCTAAGACCCTCCACAGTTTTCAGCAGCTGATCCCTCTCCTTTGTCAACTCCTCATTCATCTTAAGTAGATCACTGGAAACAACAGATTACAATAGGTTCCATTCACTTTACCCACAGTATCCACAAAAAAAATGATTAGGAAGGTGGGGAAGAGGACAAATGGTTTACCTGTGCTGTTGGTCCATAGAGAAACCAGACTGTTGCTCTGCAATTTTCATTAGATTGGCAACTTCTTCTTTTAAATTCCTGATGGTATCTTTATCCATCTTTTCTTTATCATGAGCAGCATCAACCATTTTCCAAGCCTTATCCAGCTCCTACAGTGAAGGTAAAGGAAATTTTAGCAAAACCTTGCTGAATTAACATAATCTGAGGAGTCCAGAGGGGGAAGAATGATCAAACATCACTAATAAAATGCTTTCTATAGCAAACACTATACTCCATAAACCGGAATTTCTAGTCCTTTAATGTTACCCAATCCGGGTGTAATATAACCAAACAGATTAATATACTGTAGCCTCTCATGTTGTGGCAGTGTACCCTCTTTAGTGAAGTAATTGTTGTCTCATCTTCTTGGGACAGTTTCAGAGCAGCTGTGACTTTAGTTGAGGTGGACACAATCTCTGCATTCAGCTCCCTGCATTTAGACATCAGCCTCTTCTCATTCTCTCGGGACTTCCTCAGGGCATGGATGAGCTTCTCGTATTCCACCCGGATTGTGTCCATGCTCTTGTCCTCAAGGAGCTCCCTGAGCACCATCTGGAACTCCTCCAAAGACTCAGCAGAGTCCTCTCCTGCTAGTCCTGTCTCCTGGAAGTACAACAGAGCCACAGACTGCAAGTGAAAATGAGTCTAAGAGTGATGAACTAAACAGGTTGGACCTGTGAAGCTGGGAACTCCACAGATACATAACATGTACATATGTAGCCTCATGTTATGTGAAAGTTATCACATCTGAAATTACTTAACTTTCAACCTCATTCACATAGAGTTTTGACTTTGGATTTAAGCCTTTAACCCACAGTGGGTTAAAGTTAATACAAATAACAGAGAAACGAAATTAACATTAGAAAACATGCTAGTGATAGCTCACTTGCCATATTTCGACTATTCTAAGCGTTTTTTGCACCCTAACCACCCTAACCTCACCGGTGTTGTTTTAACTGTACAATTATTTTTTGATTGAGAGAATTTTCATATTAACATGCCTTATCCTTGTCCATGTCCATGTCAGTCAGGAGACTTTTATAACAAACTGAACTCCCGCTCCCTTCCTGTGTCGCAGGTCCTCCTTTTGTCTTTTTATTCTTTTTAATTAATTTTATATTTCTATTTTCTTATAATTTTTACATTTTTACTATTATTTTAAACGGGTATTTTTTTTAACCAGTTATGGATGGTGTTAATAAAGAAACGAAGACGTGTTTTTAACATTCACGGTCGCCTTGTGCCAGAGCTCCTGGTAGCACTCCTAAGAGTGCTGCGTTTTAACCCTGACCTCACCTCACCGGTGTTGTATTAACTGTAAATTCTCAGTTAACATGACGTTAAATTGCCATGTAAATATTTTGACAGTACTTACCTCCATTATACAAACTGAGAAGTCAATATATAATTCGTTAATCCAAAGGATCAATCAAAGGAAGTGTAGCCCTGATGTTAATTTTACCAATAGAACTGTTGACGGTGGTTGCTAAGCAACCGCTGATCTCGCGAGAGAAGGAGCCGCTGGTCTGCAGCAGCAGGAGATTGTCATTGACCAATTACACTGTAACCACGCGCGCTGCGACGAAAAAAAGCGTCAGTGTACACTTGGCTGTTACTGAGAGGAACCTAATCTGAGAGGTTCCTTCTAATATATATAAATTATCATTTAATTAATGATCTTCAAATTGTTTTATTCTATTAGTAAAATCGCGTTATAGCACAAGGATTCACAAACGCTTTGATGCCAGTGTTCGTGTGTGCAGGTATTATGACTCAGCTGGTGGAAATAATGAATTGATGGATTTTTTAAACTTGGCAAGATTTCAATATGCTCCTTAAACAAGCAGCTGAAGACTCTCAAAGTATTCAACCAACTTGAATCACTATACAATTTCATATTATAAACTTTCTAATTACTCCTTTGATAGACCTTTACAACTTACAGTCTTTTTCACTGCAAGTAAGACTATTACTATTACTATTACTATTACTATTACTTTATTCATTATTAATATTAATAAATGATGGCTCTGGTCAAGTAGGTGTGCCAGTAGGCATGGGCAATACAGGAGTCCTGTAACTTAAAAACCTACTTAATGTTACTGGTTTCATCTGTCTGACAAGTCAAAATGTTGCGAAAGTATGTTGTTTTTGTTGTCTTTAGGATATAATTGAGGATAGAATTGAATTGTTTTCTCTTTCTATAGAGCAGGAAGAACCTCTCATAGATTATACTCTATACTTTATCACAAATATTTTTGTGTAATGTGTGGTGGCGTAGTTTCAGCTCAGACAGCCTGCATCATGTAGATGTCTATTAGTCATCACTTTGCAGTAGGCCTGCATGCAGTACCATCACTTACATGGTTTAAGGAGACACAGCTGGCCCAGCAGATATCCTAGTAAGATCTATCAGTATCTTTTGCAGGGGACTCCGATTTCCAAGTTATGCCTTTTTTGTATTAACTAATTTCATTTCAATTTTATTTATTCATATAGCATCAAATCATAACATTCATTATCTCAAGGAACATTGTATTTTCCCACCCATGATGCATCCAATGGTTTCCACTCAGTTCTGTGTAATAATTTAATGAGTTGACTCTTAAAACTTTTTGTCAAAGTAACATGATTTCATTGTGGCAATAAACAGTCTGCTACTTTATTTTATATGTACAGAAATGAAATTAAAGGAGCTCCGTAGCTGCCTGGAAATGTAGGGAAAACAGCTCCACAACTATTTGGCATCACATGTTGAGGACCATTTTGCTCAATAACATGAAAAGTCATCTTAGAAAATTTAAACATTTTAATAAATAAAAACTGATGTAATATACACCATTATGAATATACAACTACAACAAGCATACCAAGACATTTGAAATACAAAAAAACCAACAGTTCAATTTACTTGCTTTAAAAGCTTCAATCTTTAGGAAGAGTGGGGGTGAGCAGGAATTACAATAGCCATACATTCTTGTTTGAGTTTGTGCCAACAAACATAAAAAGCATCATAACTACTGACTTCTCAGAGATGGTTAACATAAAAAAAAAGCTTAACAGTGACGCGTCTGGACTAAAGATTTCCATGAAGAGACATTTTGAGGTACTGAGTTGTCTACGCCTGTAACTAACAGTGAACACATTGTTGTTTTCCATCATTGTTTTCCAGGTCATAATGAGAAAAACCTGTTAAAAATGAAATCTGTAACTCAAACCAGTTCAACTCAGGAAGACCGAACAATTAAAAGGAGACAATGAGTTCACTTTGTTCTTCTTCCACTTGTATTGCATTTTGTGATTTGAAAAAAACAAAACAAAACAGAAAACAGATGATCAGCTTCATGTAGCTTGTACATACTTTTCATTACAGAAGCTTCAAAAAGTTGAGTTGAGTGTTTGCAGCAAACATTTTTAACAAGTTTAAGAGACAATACCGAGATGCTTTCTCTGGTCTTCAAACATAGTAACGCTGCAGGTCCCTTGTAAACAACGACCTCGATGGGTTTTGGAGTAGTTTGGTTGCAGAGGAAGTCTTTGTTTCATTCCCCACAACACAAGGGTACCTGCAGGGGGCGTTAGTATGTTTACTTGACCTGATAGAAAGACTGCTGAAGGATTTAAATGTCTATGATGAATACCATATCAAAGGTCATGGTGAATGTATCTGATCACTTAGCACCAAACACAACGTGTGGATACTATTTGCAACCACAAACACACTTTGAAGCACTGTGAAGTTCAACCTAAACTAACGAGAAAACTGTAAACTCAATCCCAAGAAAATCATTATGACATGTGTATTCAAATTAACGTCCTTGCTTTAAAAATTTTCCACTCAAAATGTAAGTCCTATCTGATCTGCATATTCCCTGAAACAACAGCAGTCAAAGAAAACCCTCTGAAACACGACATACTGGCCAAGCAGCAATCTACAGTACAGTACAGGATTGTTTAGCTACATTTTGTCTGAAGCAAGGAAATAACTAACTTAAAAAAAAGCACCACAGATGTTATTAAATAGCACCAGTTGTCAGAATGTATATGGTGTGTTTTTGGCAATGTACAGCACTGAATTGAATGTCACCAATGTCAGGAGTAACTTTTAGCAGCTGCTGCAATGCTCAACCTCCACTTTTAAAGGCAAGAGAACGTTCATTGCATTAACTTGCACGTGCTTCTGTTTAGAACCGAAAACAAACCAAAAACCAAATGTTTGGATCCCGTTATTTGAATTCAAAGCATCATTAAGCACTGTGTCTGTTACATAGGCCTACATACTGTAAATATACGCTGTAAAACATTTCTATCTGCACAGTTTGTAAATTAGATGAATATACATTTATATTTCTGTGCTCTGCTGTAATACAGATTGCAAGGGAGCACCATAGTAGGGAAAAAGATTCTCACCATTTTTTCATGCTAAAACATAATTAAAAAGATGAATGTGTGACTGCAGAAGCCAACCTGGTTGATTGACCACAACAAGTCAAATAATAGCTAAATAGCTAAATCATCAGGAACTAAGAAAAAGGAGCTAAATCATTGTCAAGCAAATGATCAGTGCGGCCCACATAGAATTCAAAAATTACATTTTCTATTCACACCAAATGGACTTTGCTATAAAAACTACTTTGCTGTATCCTTCTCTGAGAGTCTGTGTGTAATAGACAGTGAGATATACAGTACAGTGACAGCCAGTTTGGTGCACCATTGTTTTTTGTTTTGTACACAGCTGAAAACCTCAGACAGACGTTATATTTCTCTACTTTGTGTAAGATTTTGCATTGCTACAGTATAAAGCAACAAATGGATATAAAAATAATAGAATATAGACTTATACATTCTTGCATTCTTGAAAACAAGTACTGTTCAAATATAGATACTCATATAACCATTTTGGTTTCATGAATATATGTATATGTATATATGTGTGTGTGTGTGTGTGTGTGTATATATATATATATATATATATATACATATATATATATATATATATATATATATTCTTAAACTAATTTCTAAACATTTAGAAGATTTCCATTATTCACATACAGTATACACATTGGTCTGTTACGCCATGTTATAATGTGTCACTGAAGCAGACCCTACACTACTCAGTTTCCCACTCAATCTTCAATAAAGATGATGTGCATCATATTTTCTTCTACAAAAAATATATATGACAAGGTATGCTTATTTGAGATATTTACATGGTGTAACTAAACTTTTTATTTTTTCTTCTTTTTTAAATCTCAAATCAAATCTCTTAATGCCTTTTTGTACACTCAAGTTTGACAAAAAGTTGGTAGTGTATCAATACTTTCCTCCATGGTGCTGTATTGATGGCAAGTGTCACAAAGACTGATTTTAAGCAAGCTTCTACGGTTTAGTTTAGATTAAGGTCTCTGCCTGAATGCGTCCTTCTGCTGTGGTCTTTCAGTACAAGATGATATTTATGCAATCAGCTATGGTTTCCGTTTGTTGTGTAACTTGACTTTATCATGTCCCCTCTTCTTTTAAAGGGTGTCCTTGGCAATGAAACAAATGGCTCCTGAAAGAGTCTTTTTAAGTGTGACAGGTTAAAATATTATTGTGTAATTTATCCGTGGGCTTCTACTCAATGTGCAACATTTCACTGGCCTGTGAGCTATTGTTTCTTTATAAAGACTAGACTAGTGATTTATGATGTAGTAAACCGCTTGGTGTCATTGTATAAAGTTGCAGTTTGTGGCTGACATGTCAAGATAATATTGTGAGCACTGTGATGTCTGTCTGTCAGGTCAATGAATCAAAATACCAATATGTGTATTTATTTACAGAAATCTCACTGATCTCAATGATACATTAAACTCTATGCCACAATACGTGTAAGCTGCTCATTTGGGCTAAAATTTGCTGAATAAAATATTTTTTTCTTTTCTTTGAGAAAACAGACAGAAAATGATATGGCAGTTTAAGGTTTTGGATACTGTGAGCTCAGAGGGCAGAGAGGTGCATTTACACCAGCGAGCCAATATGCTTAATTAAGTAAAAAACAAAAACCTTTCTATTTGTTTGGCATGTGTTAGCACCAGGGATTCTCCACTCTTAGCATATGGGATGTCAAAGAAGTGAATATCTTCAACGACACAATGAGAAGTCTCTCTTAATGCATCTTAAAATATGTAAAGCCAGAGTAGAGGACACCAAAGCCAAACTCTAGTTCTTCTCATCTTAAGAGCCAAGTGTGATACAGTACTGAGATTTTCTTAACAAATTGTCTTTTAATGAGTCATAACAAAACGTGTGATTTTTTTTTCTCTTTAGACACCACAAACATAGCTAGCTAGAAGCTATTTCAGAGTCAGATCATCACTGTTATCTCAGAATGTGTAGTGCTGCTAGGGGCACATATGACAAGATAACAGTATATATGCGAATCATATGCAGAGCTACCCTCGTCGAGCTAATTAATC